CCCCAAAACCCCAAAACCCCAAAACCCCAAAACCCCATAATAAAAAATTTGTTAAATTTAAGTAAATTGAATAATTTAATATATATATAGGGGAAATAAAGCATTTTTGAATAGGAAATTAAACTTTAGTAAACGCTTTAATTTAAGAGTAGAAATTTGATGAAAATTTATTAAATAGTAAAATTATCATGAAATTGAACAAGACAATTTTTAGTCTAGTTTTTCTGAATGGGTTAAAAGAGGGGTTCTTTATCATTTTAGCGCCATTTTTGCCTGAATAATTCCAAAAAAAAGAAGTTCCAGACCTTGCTTATACTCCTTTATTCATGTAATTTATTCATCTATTTTAAATCACTATAAAGAACATACACAGTTGTATTCTTTTTCACATCATTGGTGATAGGAAAACTGTAAACTAGACTAGGTCGCCGAATCATGGTGAGACTAGCTCTCTTCATGAATACATTCTCTGCTTTGTGCTATATTTCACTGGAATACATCACTAATATGTAATATCTGCCTAAATATTAAGACTTATTGTATAGTCCTTTGTTTTTGATTGTTGGCTTTATTGGAAGGTTTATTCAGGGTATGGCTACAGGGCTTCTGCAAACAGCTGGTAATATTATTACTCTAATAACTATCACCCTCTAGCTTATGCAGAATTATTGATCTAATTCCCAGAAATGCAAGAAGAGCTTGTCTCCTATATGGAATTCGGTGTTGGTAAGTATATTTAGTAGTAAATAATACTTTTATAGCTTTAGGAAGTATTGTCGGACTTTTAATATCTTCATTTCTGTCTTATTCAATTGGGTATATTGGCCCTTTCTCATTTACCGGAGCTTTGTTTTTATTCTTTGGAATTTTCTAAAACAAACTCATCAACTTCGTTTCAAAGGAAACATAAGATAAAGTAATTTAAGAAAACCCCCATTCAAAGCTTAGCTTTACTTCTCAATCAGCAAGAATCACTCCAAACATTCATGGTGCAGTTGCCATAAATAAGAAGCGAAAACAGGCTTAATCATTTACAAAATGCCATATGAGTATTGATAGTATGAATGTTAGCAAAAATGATAGAAATTTTTCTCATCATAACATTGGATAAACCTCCACTGGTTATTTTGATAAGTCCATAATTCCTACATACGAAGCAAATGCAAATGTCATTATGGTAACTAGTGCTGAGGAATTCTAGAAGAAAATTGTTGAATCTGGAAGTCTGAACATGGACCCTAGAATAACTGATAAAGATGATGAGATTCGTTAGACATCAGTTTAATTCTAAGCTGAAGAAAAAACAAAATATGACGAGCTTAATTACTTACACATATTCTTTACTCCAAGAGGATTCTTTGCAACTCTTGATGTGCTATTATGTTGTTAGATGTATAACTTTTGTGATACAACCATGCCTGATTATCTTTAAGAGATCTATGACTATGACCCTTACATAATTAGCTTGATTTATATCTCTTAGAATGCTGCTTTTGTTTTAACATGCTTTATAGCACCAAAAGTTGCCCGCAGAATGAGTTTAGTGCTCTGTGTCATAGTGGCATAGATGGTCTAGGCAGTAAGCTGTTATCTTATTGGACCTTCAATGTTTTTCAACATAACCCCAAAAATTTATATTACAATCATTGGATTTGCAATTTCAGGGCTTGCCGCTCCGTTTACTATTGTGCCTCCTTACAAGGAACTTGAACTCTGCCTCTCATATCACAAGAATAAAAGATTTGATCCAGAGGCTGTGTAAGATATTGTTTCAGGCGTTTATAACACAGCGTATGCAATGGGAGGTATTGTGGGTCCATTATATGGATATTATACAACTTATTTTACTAACTTCAGGACTACCGCTGATATCTAAGGGCTTATAATGGTTGCAAGTTTGTTGCTTTAATTTTTCTTGTTGTATCTCCCTTAAAGAATTTCTTCAGCAAGACTGAATAAGAGACTAAGAGATTCTAGCTATAAAAGCACTTAAAAATAAGGTAATAAAATAAAATATAAATCTAAAATTTTCAGGGGATTAAAATGATAGTATAATGAAAGCAAAACTCCTTTAAGTAGAATATCAAAATAAATATAATGAAGATTAATAAGATACTGATTTTATGCTTGACGATACTAAACATTGAATAAAATACAGGTTATCAAAATAAACAGAATCTTAAGTATTCAACGAGAACTGATATTAAAATTCCGAATAGAATTATTCAACTCAAACTTAAATAAATTTATTCCATTAAATAATTTCAATTATCATACTCATTTATTAATTATTTTCCTCATTTGAAGCAAAACGATTAAATGGGGTTTTGGGGTTTTGGGGTTTTGGGGTTTTAATATCAGTTCT